CAGGCGGAGAGGGCTCCCGCGCCCCTCAACCCGTTCCTGTGGGAGCGATGCGCAGGGCCTGCTACCGTGATGTTTGCCCGTGCGAGAGTTCGACCCCGCCTAGCTCTCGCAGGTCGGAACCTCGGCGGACGCTTGAAGACGTCTCGGGGCGCCCGCCCCCTCCCTCACAGAGCCATGGCAAGGGGTTGCGCAAGCTGAACAAGCGTGCGGACCAGCGCAAGGCTGTGTTGCGCTCGCTCACGTGAGAGCTGATCCGCCACGGCAAGACCCAGCAGACGCTCGCGCGGTGCAAGGAGGTGCCTCCATCCTCCATCCTTCACGCCCCACGCCCCCCCCTCCTCCCCCCTCTCCCGGCCCTAGCCCCTGCCCCACCCCGCTGCCCCCGCCGCGCGCGCAGGGAGGGCGGCTACACGCGAGTGCTCAAGGACGGCTTCCGCAAGGGAGACAACGCGGAGATGGGAATCATCGAGCTGGTCTGAGGTGCGGGGCTGCGGCGGGGGCAGGCATGCGTGTGTACCCTTCTCCTCGGCTGGTGTGAACCGAGTGTGCTCCCTCTTCTCTTTTGCCTTCGGATTCGCATTCGGTTTTGTGCCACTCTTGTTCTCTTCGCTGCCCGACATCGATCGCGTTGATTCTCGTGGTTGTGGTTCTAAGAGAGTAGAGTCTAGAGAGACCCACGCAAAATGATATAAGTAATAAAGTACAATGGGCGCCACCTTCTTTCGGCGGACGCGGGACGGCCTCTCTCCCGCCAATGCCGCAATGCCAATGGCAATGTGCCCAAAAATAGCCGCAAATCAGCCATACACCGCGCGCCCGCCGCAGAAGCCTGCGCGGCCAGCGTGGGAGCAGGCCGGCGCCGACGGAAAAGACGCCTGGAGACCTCGAGACGCCTGGAGACCTCGAGACGGCGCGAGACCTCGAGGGAGGAGGGCAGCGGTGCAGGCCGACGCGGGGGCGGGAACGGGAAGAAGGAAGAAGAAAAGACCCCACCCGCCTTTCGGCGAAGAAATACGAAATGCAGACGGCGGGCAGACTGTGGCTGTACCCCTGGCCGAGGTGCATCGTTGTTCGCTGCACCTGATGGGCGCCAGGCTACTGAGTAGCGCACCAACCACCTCAACGCGTCGCAGCATGCTGCGCGCGACCCCGCTCCACGCTTATGAGCACTGCGCTGTCCATTATACCTCAATGCTCGCTGCTGCCGCGCCCGCCCGCCGCCCACAGCCCACCAAGCGCGACCTCACAGCCCACCACACGACCTCATGTTTAGGACTGCCGGGAGTTCAAGAAGCTGGGGGTGTTTTCTGCTTGCTGGCATGACAGTCGCGCAATCGCCGCCGCCACCTTCTAGTCTTCTAGGTGGAGTTGTCGGAGGATCAGACGCCTCGCATGGGGAGTTTCCATTTTTGGTGTCCTTGCGTCGCCCCTTTGTCGGATATCCCGGTGAGCATCACTGCTGCGGCGGGACCCTCCTCTCGCCCTGCTGGGTCGTCACCGCTGCTCACTGCACCACCGCCGTAACAACAGTGGTGGCGGGACTGCACAAGCGAAACGGGAACAGCTGGTTTACTCCATCAGAGACGGAGCACGCGGTGATTGATTGGATTCAGCACCCGGATTGGGATCCCGACAATCTTCTCCCCTCAAAAAATGAAGCCGACATCATGCTGCTAAAGCTTGGGAACTGCGTGACGACGACGTCGGAGGCCGCACCCGTCGACGCCCTCGACGGACCGGGCTACACGGACCTGCAGGTTCCTGGAAGGTTGCTGCAGGTCGCTGGCTGGGGGCTCCTCTCCAGCAGGGGGGAGCTTGAAGGCTCGGCTGCGGACGTGCTCCAGAAGGCCATCGTCCCCGTGGTCAGTCGCTCAGCCTGCCGCTCTGCATACGAGGGCGTCGACGGGTGCAGTGGCGGCTCCTGTGTGACGCTCAACATGCTATGCGCGGGGTATGACGAGGGCGGGATCGGCTCATGCGATGGCGACTCAGGCCGCCCGCTCTTCCATCAAGATCCCCAAGAGGGGTACGTGCTAGTCGGTATCGTCAGCTTTGGAACCACCGCTGGGTGTGCCGTGCCCGGTGTCCCGGGGGTCTACACACGCGTGGCCTCGTATGTCAACTGGATAGAGAACAACGCCCCTTACGACGGCCTCGCATACGCATTGAACCCTCGGTGTGACAGTGAGCGAGCTTGCGGTGAGAGCCAAGGTGATGTCTTCGTTCACCGAGATCAGTGCCTACGCTGCGAGTGGAGTTGTGAGGCCCCTGATTCATCGTGGATCTACACTGGCGAATGGGTCTGGTTGGCCTGCGGGCTCTCGGGAAACGATGAACTATACTGCAAGAGGTACGACTGCACCATCCCGTCGCCGCCATCTCCACCTCCGCCACCACCACCTTTGCCCCCTCCGCCACCATCACCACCACATCGCCGCCACCACCGCCGCCGGATCGGCCACCTCCTCCGTTGCCGCCGCCACCGGAGCACCCACCATCGCTGCCGCCACCGTCGCCACCGGCACCACCGCGGCCACCACCGTTCCTCACATTGAACCCTCGGTGTGACAGTGAGCGAGCTTGCGGTGAGAGCCAAGGCGAGATGTCTTCGTTCACGGAGATCAGTGCCTACGCTGCGAGTGGAGTTGTGAAGCCCCTGATTCATCGTGGATCTACACTGGCGAATGGGACTGGTTGGCCTGCGGGTTCTCGGGAAACGAAGAACTATACTGCAAGAGGTACGACTGCACCATTGCCTGGCCTCCGTCGCCGCCTCCGTCGCCACCTTCGTCGCCCCGTCCGCCACCGCCCTCGCCACCGCCTCCACCGGAAGAGGGTAGTGACGGTGGTGACAACCTAGGCGCCATCATCGGGGGTGTCATTGGAGGTCTTGCCCTCGTCCTTGCCTTCATCGTCGCCCTCGTCTATATTACCAAGATGAAACGCGCGGATTCGATTCCCCACGTGAACCCTGTCCCTGCTGTTGGCGTAGCAGTGCGCACACAGCAGACAGGCTCGACACAGGTGCGAACTGGCGCGTGCTAGTACGAAAAGAACTCTCTCTCAGAGCACACTGGTTCGACACAGGATGCACAAGTTTCGCGCGTCCTCGAAAGCAGCAGCAGTCGCAGGCGGCGCGCAAAAGGCGCGCAACTTGAACCCCGCAAGACGTCTTGTCGAGCCCCCGGATGTCGGACTTCTTGGCGGCGTGCGACAAGCCACAGGTCGCCCAGTCGCTGAGTGAGCTGGGCGCCCAGCACCGCCCGTCCAAGTTTGGCTACATGGGCAGGCGCCGGCCCTTCACACACGCGCAGTTTGACACCATCTACCCGCTTTTCCTCGAGGAGCTTCGCACAAAGGAGTTCAAGCTGCTCGAGATTGGCCTCGACACCGGCGCCTCGCTCCGCACCTGGCTAGACTATTTCCCGTGCGCAGAGGTGCACGGCGTCGACCTCCACAACACCTCCACCCCCTCTGTTGGCCACCGCGTGGTGACGACGCACGCGGGAGACGCGAGCGACCCAGCCTTTGTCGACCACCTCCTCCAGGCTGCGCAATTCGTGGTGGCCAGCCCGTTTGGCTTGTACAACATCTCTGCTTCTCTATGTAGGCGGCGGGCCCCTTTGATGTCGTGATCGACGACGGTGGCCACCACGTCAGAGACCAGCTAGCCACCTTTGCTGCGATATTTGAGAGGGGCCTGAGCCCCGGTGGTATTTATGCGATCGAGGACATCGAGACATCCTACTGGGAGGACGGGACTCCCCTGTATGGCCGGCCGACCAAGGGCCCCGCGGGCTGCGACGGCAAGGGCAGCGGCCGCTCCACGGTCGACACCTTCCTCAGCATCGTGCACGCGCCCGTCAATGGCAAGTTCACCGACCGCGTGGCGCGAGTCACCGGACCCGCGGACTTTTGGGTCAAATCGGTCACCTTTTCCCTCAAACTGATTGTGCTCACAAAGAAGAGCGATCGCGACTGCGTGCAGGTGGGCCCCTACATCTGGCCAGAAAAGCTGTCGCGGACCTGCCCCGCGTCGCGGCAGAGAGGGCCGCCAGACCCGGCAGATGATCCGTTCTGGCGATGGTGCCAGAGGCACGGTGGGGAGGGCGCCCGGAGGCCGTCCGGCGCGTCGACGGGGACCGAGCACATCCTCCGCGCCGAGATCCAGGAGCTGAGGAGACGCAACGGCGCGCTGCAGGCGGAGCTGACAGCCGCGAGGGGTTCGAGGGGGCGAGGGCGGGCGAGTGGTCCAGCGGAGGGCAGGTAGCACTTGAAATGAAAGAAAGGGCCCAAAATTTGTCACTACAGATCGCCACCACACAGAAAATAAAGAGAAAGCAGAGTGCTCTCCTACGGGGTGTGGACCGCCGTGAGTTGACCAGGGGTTGTGCGCCGGGCCCTCCTGCTCGGCTCCAGCCAGTAGACAAGTCTTGTCACTAACAGAGTAGAAGGATCTGACCTCGGGGCCGATGTGACCAAGAGCTGGTAGCGTGGTTTTACCTCACACCCATGGTCTCACAGTGTGCCGGCAGTCGCCGAGCAGTGTCGCTCACACAAGCCGCAGACAAGTGACTGAGGGCCAGTGAGGGCGAGCCCATCGCTGTCACAGCTGTGGTAGCCGCACAGTAGGCTGTGTCAACTGTGCAGAGCGTGTGAGCAGCCGAGGAGCTGCTCTTTCTCGTCTCACCGAAACGCGTTGAATATAGTGTGGGTGCCCGTAGTGCCTTGGCCGACGGCAAGAACGCGCGTCGTGCGCGTCCTCGGCATCGCGTTCCAAGACTCAAATCGCGGCAAGTATCGCGGCAACTTTTGCCTATAGGGAACATGTGGTTCTGTGTGTCGCTCCTGTGTGACCGTCATCGCCCGTCTAGCGTCCACCCATACCGCGTTGGTGTCCCAGTCGTTGGTCGGACTGTGTTTCGCCTTCCCATCAATCAATCAAGGAACATGCATCTCGATGATGGTGCTGTCGTGGTCTAGGTGCGATAAAAAGATTAGAAAATAAACCCCGTAGTCGACCGCCTCCTGGTCCCCCTAGAGAGCCGATGCGCTTAGAGCAGTCAATAATCACAACCGGGGCCGGGTAGCCAAGAAGCGCGGCCAGGGGGACGGATAGGAGTTAGGACGACGCGAAAGAGTTCTTAAAATACACGTTCTCTCTCCAGGCTTCTGACGCAAAGAGCTGCATGCCATCGAAGGCGCTGTCGAGGTTCGCTGAGCGCGGCGCAGGTTGGAGGACATGTTTGTGGAGAAGTGGGTCGCGTCCTCCGATTTCCTCAACTCACGGTCGCTCCCTCTATGTCCGTCGTTCTCCACACCGCTGACCGCTCTACCTCTAGACCGCTGTGGCCTGCTGTGGCGTGGCAAACGGTGAACGAGCAAGCATGCGGGGAGAAGAGCGGCATTGTGCATGTACGAGAACCGCACAAGCGAACCCCAGAAGCCCAGAGAACACAGAGGTCACAGCGCGTACCGCCCCTCCAAGCTCCAGCCATTGTGGAGGTGGTCCTCTCTGCGAGCATCCCGCGCACCCAAGACGACCGCGCACCCGCGCGACTGCGGCCGCTCCCTCCATCTGTACCCGCCCTCGCGCGCCGGCCATGGCCCCACGAATAGCACACACACAGCCGCGGCGGCACGCCCGGCGCAGTCGCCGCCGGACACACCCCGCCCGCGACGCGCGCAACCGCCGCGCCGCGTCACTCAGATGTGGAAGTTGAGGCGGCGGCCGGCTCGCCCGCCTCGGGAAGCGCGTCGAGCACGGCGCGGAGCTCGTTGTACGCCTATCATCACTTAGCTCACCAGCTCACCAGCCCACCACCAACTAGCGAGCCGGCAGCGCGGGAGCTCCACGGCAAGCCTTCTCCATCGGGGGCCTCGCAGACGCGCTCGCCTGAGGGGCGGTGAGACGGCGCGTGGATCGATGCCGCCGTCTCCCTCCCCGCCCGCGACAAGAGCGCTCGAGTCGTGCGCCAAACGCTCTCGTGACGCTCTCGTGACGCTCTCGTGACGCTCTCGTGACGCTCTCGTGACGCTCTCATGGGTGGGCGGGCTGCTCTAGCCCTCGCCTCGGACAGCCAGCGCGCAGTCTGCTTGAGCAGGAGCGGCCTCACCCGCCGAAAGTGCGCCGCGACCGCCGCCTGGTGAATGAATGGACTGAGTAACGAATTGACTGACTCATTGACCCGCCGAAAGTGCGCCGCGGCCGCCGCCTCGAAGCCGGCGGGCGGGCACTTGATCATGTCCCGCATCGCGTAGCGCATCGTCTGCAGGCGCAGGTCCTCGTTGTACTCGCGCGAGCGCTGCTCGCCCGCGGGGGTGTTCTCCTATGGGGGAGACAAGGGGGGAGATATGGGGGCGATCTCGGTATGGGGGAGGTCTGCTCGCCCGCGGGTAAGTTCTTCTCCTCCTCGGCGTAGCCCGGCTCGTTGAAGTACGGCTTCGGCACCTATCTCCCCCAGATCTCCCCGTGTCTCCCCAGCTCCCCCCAGCTCCCCCCACCGAGGCGCGCGGCGTCGGCACCATGATGATCGACTGGATCGAGACGAGCACCTGTGCTCACGGCTAGAGGTGTGAAGAGGCGCTGTTCACACCTCCACCACGATGATCGACTGGATCGGGGCGAGCACTTGCAGCAGCGTCGAGCCGGAGCTGCTCGCCGAGGGCGGAGTCCACCCCTCGCCGTGCCACGTGCCGAGCAG